AACATTTGCTATTGATTATGAATGTACACATTCTCACAATCACGATGCAGCAAAAACCGCACTTCATTCTGCTGTTAAACACCATGATATTAAGACCATTATTAACAATCATTCACGTAAGTTTTTTTCCATATTTCATAGAATTAATATTCAATATTTTTTCATTCAATCTACTTGGAAAAAAGATTTTAATGTTTTCTTTCTTTTAACAAAGTCCCTAACAAATTGTACAATTTGATTTATGATTTGAAAGTCTTTCTTAAATGATTTTCTCACTAGAAATTCGACTAAAATTCATTTTTATCATTTCCTGGCAAGTATTTTTTATAATTACATTTTATTTCTATTGATTTATTAGATATAGTCATACTAATATTGATAATCTATATTAAATGAAGCAAAAAAAAACTTAAACGTACAGCATCTTGCATATAAAATATATTTCTAAAACTGATAATTATGTCTCATATCATCCAGAAACAGACTTTATCTTTCTTATTTTTGAATCAGACATAAATATGTTTATTCAATATTTCGTCTTAGTTAATCTAATATTTACTATTATTTTATCATTATTCTTTCAAAACTTTCTATTTCACAGATAAAGTTGAAGCTGTCCACTCAGAAAAACAAACACCCGCAGATGAAGAAAAACCAACACATGAACATCAAGAAAAATTAAAACGTGAACACGAAGAAAAAATACGACGTGACCGTGAACGTGAACGTGAGCGTGAAGAAGAACTAAAACGAGAATATGAAGAAAAACTGAGACGCGAACGTGAAGAAGAGCTAAAACGTGAACATGAAGAAGAACTAAGACGTAAACATGAAGAAAAACTAAGACATGAACATGAAGAAAAACTACGTCGTGAACGTGAAGAGGAACTAAGACGTGAATATGAAGAAAAAATAAGACGTGAACGTGAAGAAGAACTAAGACGTGAACGTGAGGAAGAACTAAACCCTGAAGATGAAGAAAAACCAAAACATAAACATGACGAAAAACTCCGACATGAACATGAAGAAAAACTAA